TTCAGCTTTTTCTTCAGTCTTACCCTACAAGTGGTTCTTGTAGGTGCTCAGAAGTTCTCCTGAGTTACTGTGGATATCCTGTCTGGACGCTGATGAGAACTCAAGTTGCTAAAGGGCAGAATTAGGGGAGGAGAATTTTTTTAAAAAAAAAAAAAGCTGAGGGTTTTGTTTTTAAGGAAATGAAAAGTACTTTGGCTTATCATGCCCCTGTCATGAGGAACCTAAGCCATAGCTCATTTCCCTTTCAGATATCTGGCACTACAAACAGTCATACAAATGATTAAAAAGCCCTCACTAGCCTTTTTTTGGTATGCCTTGCAAGCACAGCTGGAGTTTGCATGGTTGGCATGTCTGTTTTTGAACCATTGACCTCACTGAAATCACAATGTGGTCGAAATTCACTTGTCTGGCCCTGGCTCTTTTAAGACAGTGGCTTCTAAATAATCTCCTGCTGTCATTGTAACTGTGAGCATCTGTTGCTGAGGTACAACCAGCCAGAGAAATGGTTTTCTTTCTGCCAGATATGAGATTACTTGTGCCTCTTCTTTGGTAGGAAGGAAAGCCTGTGCCCAGATGAGACCACCCTGCCTCTTACCTTGTACCAGCACTCTCTGCAGTCCCTAATCTTGCACAAAAAACACACATGCCTTTGGTGAGTTGTTCTGTCTGTTAGCCAGCAATCTGACTCCATGATAAGAGGCAAGCTAGAAAGCAAACAACACTCAGCATGTTTGCCTTTCCCCAGAGGACCTCTGGAAAAGTGGAGTCTGCCCTAGCCACCTTTCTCTCAGACGGAATAAGACCTGGAGATGTGCCCTTCCTTGCATCCAGTCTTGGGAAGCACTTGCTCTCCTTCTGACTTTTAACCATCACAGGCAAAATAGGCTGTGGCTGAACTTTGTGGAGAGCGGGCAATTTGGGGTATGTGCCACATCGGTTGCCTGGTCTCCTTAGTATGCTTTCATGGGTAATTTGGGTCCTTGGCAAAAAGACTCCTCCTGCTTCCTGTCTGGTTGATCCCAAACCCAATGCTGTCCAAAGCCCTGGCCCTGACTAGATACCAAATCACGTTCCATCCACTACTTTTTGTCATTCTTCTGAGGACACTGCTATTCTTTGGTTTCTGCTCTAGGGACTGTGAAGAATTCAAATTTCTTGCTACTTCCAGACAGTGGGAAGCAAAGTAATTCCAGTAGTCTCCACTTCATTCTCCCGAGGGGAAGTGCAAATGGGCAGGAAAGAGCTGCTTGATTAAGAGGACACTTCTGAACCTCCAGTTTTGCCAAGACATCAAGTCCAGAGGCTTAACAGATTTCTCTGCCTCATTATTGAGAGCTCTTCACCCAGGGGCAGGAACTTCCACACTTCACAGAAACAGTACAGTTCAGATATAAAAAAACCTGTGCTTCTAAACATCGTTGCATATTTTGCATATGAAAAATCCCATCATCCTATGAACCTATGTACAAACATTGCAGGACCAGCATATGAGGTAATTAGAAAAAACAGTCCTTTCTATATCAATTAATGCTATTTTCCTTGAAGACTATACAAGGTAGGAGTCACAAGTATTCTCTGCCATTTAAAAGTCTGCACTCAGCTTTGAAGGTGGCCTTCAGTGAGGTCCTCACAAAAAGCTGTCAGTCTCTATAATAAATATTAAGCAAAAAAAAGAAATTCTTTCATATGGTGACAGTGTTGCAGGACTAGGGTGTGGTGTTAGGGAAACAGAGTAACTCACAAATCAAAGAAACAAAGAAATAAATCAGTTTTCCTTGCTCTGGCAGTAGGATTTTCTGGAACAGGGAAGGCTGTGCCTCCTCTATCTGCTCCCTTTCATTATTACCTTCTGTTCCTACAGAGACAAGATGAGCTATAGGTAGTACCCGATTTCTATATTTGCTCACAGGTTTGGTTCTAATAATCTGCAACTCAAAAAAACACAAGCATAAGGGAGGGAGACAGCCAGATCCTCCTGAGCTCAGATTTCCAGTGGGTACAACAGTGCTCAGCTTCTCAGCTGCAGTAGTGGTCTATGGAAAATAATGTTTCACAGTTTTATATTTTTAATTCTCACACATAAGGTGACTCTGAAAGCTGGGACTTAGCAACATCTGCTTTTACAGTCAGCAGACTTATTTATGTCTATTCCACTCCAGCTTGATACTTTGCGCTCCCCAAACTGGCTGAAAAACACAGAAACTAAAGGGCTTGCCATTTTTGGGAAGTTTTCCCACATTCTTTAGGAAATAGGAGGCTTGAATCTTTCAAAACCAGCATTATTTCTTAGTTCTCCGGATAAAGCAGATGGGTTACCAATGGAGGACCATGCTTTAAATTAAATATTTGCCATATGATGATTTTTCTATGTGTTGTTCTTATTTATGATGATGTTTATGGTTTTGTTGTTTTAACTTCTGAATTTCTCAGCATTTCTGAGTAAAAAAAGTAACCAATTTTATATATTCACTCAACTGTTGTTTTGTCCTGCTTAGGTTATGGATGGACTTGATGATCTTCAAGGTCCCTTCCAACCAGGATGATTCTATGATTCTGTGATTCTATGATTCTATAGTAAGGAACGTGCCCAAAGTAGACTTTTTACAATGTCACATACTGTTTCACTGCCTCTAAACTGCAAGATAGAACTTATTCCCCTCCTACTCTCCTCTACATACCAGAACTTTCATAGATTTTATAACTATAAGGATTTGATAACTATAAGTATTCTTTGCTTTCTGAATGCAAAACAGGACGACCAGTTGGGAGCGTTGAAATGTAAGTGGCTGAAACATTCCAGGTCAAAGTTATTTGAAGAAAATAAATTGTTTAAATTCTTGGAATGACTGTACTGTAGTTTATAACTTTGGTGGCACATTAATTCTATTTGAGGCAGCTGTTCATTTGCATCTCCATGCAATGTGCAGAAGTTACTCTATTTCCAAAAGAAAAAGATCCATAAAAAATGTCTTAGGGAAGTTTCAGGCTATGTCTCTTCTGGTATGTACACAGTGTTGAGTGATTTCTTACAAACTGGCAAGATTTTTTTTATTATTTTGTATTTTAATAAATGGATAAGGCTTTACATTTATTTTTAAACAAAAATGCTTGTGCAAGCCTATGAACTTGTTGAAAATTGTAGATATGGTCACCAAGGCCTGAACACCAATGAAAATAAACACCTTGCATAAATCTCCAGGTTTTGAAAGTTGCAGTTCCTACCACGTGCAGCTTTAATTATGTTATGCAAGGGTGGTACAAGGGGCCAAACTGGCTCATGTAACTAGGGGAGGGAAAGCAGAAAAATTTAGCCCACAGTTTTCCACCGAATCAGTCAGAAACCCAGACATGTTTTAAAGCAGTCAGTGACTAGGCTCCCTGGCTGAACTTATTAGTGATAGGGAAAAGAAAACTGTCCATGGTTGTTCCTGTAAGTAACAAACATTGCAACAGATTTAAGGAGGCCTGTGAAACCACAAGATCAACTAACAGTTGCATGCTGCAGCCTCTTGGGAGGAGAGGGAACACAATGCTGCCAGTAGCAAACAGAATTTATATCATGGGGTGTGACAGAAGTTGTATAATACTGCATAGAGAATTGGCACTGAGAAAGCTGGAGGCTCTGCAACATGAAGAGTCTCCCCAGCATCAATGCCAAGGGAAGAAGAAAGGGCTAAGCACCAAGTCCTTTACTCACAGAAAATTTTCAGATAGTTATTCCTATGCAACCTCCATACTTTCATGTGTAAAATGATCCACTACACCTTTGAACACTAGATAATATGTCAGCTGAATGAACAGTAGGGGAAATAAACATGACTATAGCAAAACCATTCTCATATTTGTTTTCTCAGAGTAACTGCAGCTTCAGACTCCATTACCACAGAAGTTTGTGTAAAATCAAATATGTGATAAACATCCTTTAGCATTGGCTGCTATACAAATAGTGAATGAGAAATACAGTTTTTGTCAGCCTGATAGAAAAGGAACTTTACGCAGAAGGAGCCAACTTTTATCAGCATGGGGATGTTTTTGGGGGAAGGTAGACATTTTGATAGAGAAGAATACTAAAGAATCTGGTGAAGGAGGACAGCAAATGAGGTTTGCTGCTATTTAAGTCTAGTACCTGTTGTGTGTGAGAGCATGGATGAAATTGATTTTCAGAAGTCTGAGCAAACCTCAGAGATATTTCATTATGCAGGTACCCAGAATTATACATAATTCAAACACGAGTCTCACTGTTCACAAAGGCATATCTACACCAGAATCTGCTTCATAATTGAACTAGAGTACTGGCCTGAAGTTTGTATTGCTGCTGTGTTTGGTGATACAGGGGTTAATTAAAATTTAAATATATCTAGTCACAACAACATCGCGTAACTCCAGCTAGTTCTACTTAAAATTGCTAATGTAGACCTAACAAATATTATACTGTTAAGAAGCTCTTTGTTTCTTATCTCTGAAATTAATGTTATTATCCTAGACTAGTTAATTTACACGTCTAAATTATGTATCATGTAGTTTTATTGACTAAATTATGGTAGGATTTACTATGCAGTGAACAGTCAGTTGTATCCCTAAGTGAGGCAGTTTAGATGAAGTCTCCAATTCAGATGGACAGACTTAGATGCCACAGAGTTACAGGGTGAAATACTCTTCCATGTTTGAGAAGATGGTGTCATGATTTAACAGTTCTGGGGTCTCTCTACTATTAAACATGTTCCTTTTGCAGGTTTTTTTCAAACCCCTACTAGTAAAATATTCTCTATTTTGAAAGCCTGGCTCAGCAATGATGATTTAAATTACTTTAGGTAATTTTTATTCAGTTGGCACAAAACACCTGACCAAAGAACATTAATTTGAAAAAAGAAATTTGCTCCTTTAAGCATGTTTCCCTGTAGAAAAGCTGTAGTCATGTTTCCTATATACTTTAGCAGGGAAAAAAGTTAAATCACTTGATTTTGCTTTCTTCCAAGCACCAACACTTTTTTAACAGACACTCAGTTAACTTCAGTCTCATATACTGGCAAGAAGGTCTTCAGCTGTAAGATCTTGGTGATGGGTTCCTCTCTTTCCTGGTAAAAGTCAAGCCCAGTCAGGAGCTCCACATCCCGAACACGTGCAGAATGAGCCTGAACTCTTTCTTCAACCCATTCAGAAGGTGGCTTATTTTCCTGCCAAAACCAAACAAGAACAATGTTCAAACACACAAAAGGTGCTCTGTTGTTTGGTGGTGGTATTAGACAATAACCAGTGTTTGAACTGGTTTCACCAAATAAAGGCATCCAGTTGATAAAACATCTTCCAAGTTTTCCTAGGCATCTTTGCAGCCCTGCATTTAGGGATCTCATTTACACAGAAGCAAATGGATGTCTCCTCTTCCCACCTCCCCACCTCCAAAGTAACAGAGAAACAAAATTATGCTGAAATGGCAAGGATGACTTTTAACTACAAAGTACAGTTGAGTCATGTTTTAAATACACAAGTAAGGATCATTTCCGTTGCAGTATAAATTAAGTGCAGTACTCAGGCTAGCCAAACAACAGGCACCTGACAACCTGAACAAAGTCTTTACAGCAGCTCAGTCTTGACTGTTGGACAGCAATAATAATGGAAATGTAAACACTAATCAATCAAAAAATGTTATTGCTCAATTCTTAATTTTTTGCTACAAAGTTGTTTCGTGAACAGATGGTAATTTGCTTTTCCATTACCAATATCTGCTTCTGACACAAATGGTTCACTAAATTTACATCCCTGCAAGACACAATGAATATAAATTGCAATGATATTTGGGGTTTGTTGTTAAACTTTAGAAATAGTAGATGTTAATTTCTAAAGTATAAAGACACATTTTTAATTTTGTATATTTATTCAACTCTCAAGTACCAAAAAGATCCCCAGGCAGTTGTGGATTATCCACACCACAAATGTGGAGACACCCAAGTTGTTTCTAAGCAGCACAAGCTTGCACCTGTCTGGAGCTGTGAGTTCAAAGTTATAAATAAATTAAATAAACACAATTTTAGTGCTTTGAGGGCCAGTTCAAGTCTGTGCAGCTATACTTGTGTGTGGGGAGACTTTGTAATACACACACTGAGCTAAGGAACCCTTTGCACCTCAGAGTTTATGGAACAGACACTCGGCTGGCTCAACAACACATATTACACTTGGCTAGTTTATTTTATTTGCTACCACACAGGGGATTTACACTCGCAGTGGCAGCATAGATGTTATTTAACTCAGGTATGAATTTCAACTGCAGAACAATCCATCTAAATGTCTACTGTCTAATTTCTGATAAAGGTGGAACAAAGGACTGAATTAATTCTTCTAGCTCACTGGAGGGCGTAACACTCCTAAAGCCTTCCACAAAGCTATCTCATCATCCTGTTGGCTGTGCTGCTCTTCTAAGCCCTTTCCAGGTGACAACACTTCCAAGGCCTCTTACCAGACCCTTCTTTCTTCTTCTTCCTTGCTTCCTATCAGCTCATTAGATCAAGATACCTCTTCTGGAGCTTCTTACTCCCTTAGTCATTGCTTTAGCTCTCAACTCACTTGGAATTAATTAATTAAACACTTAGATTCCTAAAGATTCTCCAGATGACTGGATCCCACTGGGATTCAGTTCACAAAGCATGGAAGCATATGGGAGCATAGAACTATACTTACAGCACAGCTTTCAGTGTTGTCAGGTCGATGAGGAATGATAAAAGAAGAAACATCCAAGGAGCCTGGACAGTTCAGTGGTGTATAGAACTTGTTCTTGCAGCTAGTCAGCACCACAAAGTAATGGGTTGGGACGGGGATTTCTGTATTGCTTACATGCCTACAAAACAAACATTAACTCAGGGATTTATCTAGGATTAAAATTACTGATGTAATTAGTAATATATAATAGAATATAATATAGAATAGAATAGAATAGAACTTAGCTTAGATCTTCCACTTCTATATTACTTTTATTTATTTTATAATTGAAGTAAGTACCTGAGCCTCACTATTTGCTTCATAAACAGCCAAACACACATTAATTAGTCCTTTTGCTATAAGCAATTCCACTGAAACCAACAGGATTCCTTACATAGTCAACACTTTATTTTGCCAGAAGCCAGAGATCTCTACATCTGGAAGAGGCAGGAGAGAGTTTCATATTTGCCCTTCATCACATTAAGAATTTTAGCCACATGAAACTGAATTGGAGAAGAGTGATGAGACTATTAGCTTCTAATTCCTTGCCAGCAAGAAGTGTCAGAATAATGACTTGTGGCTATGAACTGTAGAAACCAGTTTAGGATAGACGACAGGAAATGTCTGCCTCCCTTTTCTGGCTATTCTGTGAACATGGTCACTTTTGTATATAAACTTATGAAGAGCTGAAGGTTTCCCAAATTCACTCTCTATCTTCAATATTCAACAAAACACCATCCCTGAAATCATTCTGTTGCTTCGTATGACTGACTAACCATGCTGAATACATTTATTCCAAACTGTAAGACAACATTGTGTGGTCAACTGGGTATTACAGGATTCTGCTTGGAAGGAAGTTCTAGTCTCTCCTCCCTTCCACCCTCCTACTTCGTGGCAGAGCTGACTTTCCTACTCTCAAACCATTTTTTGACAGATGTGGTATTAAGTCTAGTCATGAATAAAACATCTTCAGTGACAGATTCAGCTGTGCAAATTTCCCAGCACTTTTCAACTACATAAGTGTTCTTACTGTCAGAAGGCATTTTCCCTATATTTGGAAAAATTAAAGTTGTTCTTGTTCTTTTTTTTTCCTCTTTCTGTGCTCATTCACTAAACATAAATAATTGGTCTTTATCTTTTATATTTATCTTTTTTATGTAAGTCTCCTCTTATTCCTGTTTCTATGCAGAGATTAATTTTAAAATGTATTTTATTATGCTACCAGAGCTCACCAAAATGTACCTAGAATTTGTCAGATTCCCAAGTGACTTCTGTGAACCATAGCTATGCAAAGGTAGCACTCAGGAATGTTACCTGTTATGTTCCCAGTTACATGATTCAATGAGGGCAAACACAGAAATCTGATCTTTGATAAAACACATCCATTTGAGTCAACAGGGAGAAACAACACACAGATGAGTGAACACAACATGAAAGTGAGAAATTTATGCTTAAACACAACTTCTGGGTATTTAGATGTCACACAGTCTCCCGGTATTTCTGTTGCAGAGGCCCAAAAATCTAGGCATAAGCTTGGGAAGTTACTGGTCTGTATCTGTGCATGTCTACATAAATACACATGTAACTGCAAAGCTTTTTTCTCTTTACTGGATCTTCAACTACTACAATACTGTATCTGTTTGCAAGAGTATTTGCTGTTGTATGAGTAACAGTGAATGTAGCATTATAAAGGTAATGTTGCATTCTCTATGATACTTTTTTCTTTCTGAGTAGTAGCTTGTTTCAGTGAAAATACAGTGGGAAATAATCTGGAGTTTGACTTCTGGCTTTTCCATGTACTTACTGCTTAATTTCATCAAGGGTATCAAAATGGCCATCATAATTGTAATCAAACACTGGTCCACTGATAACATTTACTCCATTCCTTTCTCTAGCATACTCCTGAAGAAGCGTATTATGGAAATAATCCCATATCTCTGTCATTAAAAGAAAATATAAGCATATTTAACATAAGTTTGAAGTTATTTCACCACTAAAGAAAAATAATATAGAACATTCACTATCGATGAATAATAAAAAGTTCCAAACTCAACTGCCTGTAAAATCAATTCTTGTTTCACAAAATCTGAATTTTGTCAGAAAGGACATATTCTCACTCACCTTTGAAAGAGGCATGGTAAATGTTATTACAGCTCTGCAAGGTCCACTGCACTGCTGGAGACAGTGTGTTCAATCTGAAGCTGAAACTACAATTCTAGAGCTGAGCAGTCATTTATTTCTAGCCTATCTGCTAGCACCTGCAACTGCCAATTAGCAGGAATTAAGAGAATGGTTTTCTGAGAGGAATATTTACCACCTGAGAAGTACTCTAACTCTATGGAACTCATGTCAAATACCTCTAGGCAATCTGGTTTATTTCACAGATGTAATCTGAGAAAACACAGTTTGTAGGATATAAACCAGTGAGATTATTTGAATATTCACAGCTACCATGGCAACATAACCAGATGGGTTTTGAGGGTTGAAGACATCCCCTACTGATGTACCTCTTGCTTATGGATTTTTTCATAATGTCTTTGATTTACTTGAAAGATGAAAGCCAGTTAGGTTTTCTGGATCTCTGTTTTTTATATGACATGAGTGAATTAATAAATGAGGTCTGAATGTAATGAAAATCACTGCTTTTCCTCCAGCTTTCTGCCTGATGGAACAGGCACTGTAACAGGGCACTGCTTGCAAACTTTGCAAAAGGATAGAAGAAGTGCTATTTTCATTCACCTTGAGCATTTCCCCAAGGGAATATTATGATGAGAGTTTCACAGTTAGCATTTTATGTTAGGACAGCACACAGGAGAGGAAGAGAAAATTCAGAAGAGGTACACCTAAGCAGAGGTCAGACAGGAATATAAAAAAACTAAACTTAAAAAATCAACTCACATCACTGAATTTTAAAATTTCAGCCATCTACTTTTCAAAAGTTTAAAATATATTTGCAAAAGATCTGGATATACTGCAGGCCATGCATTAATGTTTTTAAGTCCTTGTCATAGCTTTATCAAACCAAGAACAAAAATTATAGATAATTAATCAAAAATAATCAAAACTTTGCAACCTACCTCTGAAAGCTCTATACATGGGAACAATATTGCTGGTGAGTAAGGCATCATACTGTTCAGAAGCAGATGAATTGAAGTCTATATAAAAGAACAAAGTGTAAATTAATGAAACACTACACAGAGATGAATTTGATTCATATGTCACTATAAATTGCAGGTATATTAAATGCAGTTACGTTTTACACTGGAGGATTAGTGTATAATCCTATTGCAAACTTATCTACAAATTTATTTGTTCAATCTGTTCAATAAACTAATTACCAAATTTTACAATAGAAAATGAAAATTCATACAGAAGATGGGGGACAGCCCTTCACTCCAACCTGCTACATATTTCGAACCAGTTTTCTTCACATTCAAGTTATTCCCTTTTTTATTTTTTTTTTAATTTTTTTTTCTTCTTTTTTTTAAATTAAATGTTCCAAACTGAAAATTTTTAGATACAAGTCATGCTTTTGGTCGGTCTACAGACACTGGAAACCTTTTTCTGCCCAACATGCTGATCCAAAGAAGTTTGTTTTGGTGTTTGGGTATATGTTTAAACATAAACCCACATCCAGCTGATTAAGACTTTCTAAGCTCTGGCTATAAAAAGAACCGTGCTCACTGGGAGGATAGAGGAAACTGCGGATGAAGGTCAGCCCTTCTGGGTAGTTGGAACAATTTTGGCTCTGAGCAACAGGGATTCTAACATCAGCCCGCAGACAGTCTGAAAGAGTGGGAAGAAGAGATGTGTTTTCCTGTGAAATGGGAAAAAAACAACAGTATTACACCCACAGCTGTGGCTAACCCATTGCTTTGTATGGTTTTAACTTTCTAGAACAGACTACATTGAATCTTCTCCTATTTTCATAGTGAATCAGGTCAATGTAAGTAATGGACACTGATGTTTTCTGCCTAATGTTTTTCCTCTAATTCTGTTTTTAACTGATCCAGGGAAATACTTATGCAGCATGTAAAATTGTAGTAACAAAATAACGTTATGCCTTAGGCAAAAACAGGTGACAAGTTTGACTCATTTGTCACTTTTACATATTTCTGGAAACACAAACTTGATGTCACATCCTCCTGGAAAGCAGATAGTATATAAAGATGACACTATCACCTCAGCTTAGCATCTGAGGAAGCTGTTACCATAATAAGAGTCTGTGTTGCTCAAGAGTTAAAGATAAATAAATTCATAGAAAACTCAGTACATATTACTGGCTAGATTCACTATCTTCAGCTGAGACATGTTAACATGCACACTAGCTAAGATCTGGCCAAAACTGATCCTGATGAGTACAATTGTTTATATAACCTTAACTTTTTTTCACTATGACCTTTTCCGTAACCTTTATCATAATTTTATGATAGCATTAACAAAAACAGCAGAATATATTTTTCTGTGTTTATCTGCATTTTCTTTTTCATACTCATTTACATATAATTTATTTCCATTTTGGTAGGAATGGAACATATTTTTTTTCTTTATACATTTATACACAGTAGTTGAACATCTAAATCAATCTTCATTACATTGTTTACTTTGATTGGCTAAAACCAAGCAGAAATAAAGGACTCAAATGTTCTTCTTGTACCTCTTTGTACTCCTTGATTTAATTTATTGACTTACTTTTATTACAAGTCTTGTAGATGCCCATATTATGGTCAGCTTGTATGATAATGAAAATTGTATATACCATGTGGAATGAAATATGAAAGACAAAAGACTGCCTTTGCCACCTGGGTAGATAAACTGTCATTGTCCAGCAAATGTAAAACACAATACAAAAGTGACATCCAATTAATTTGAGAAATTTGTCCTTTCGAGTTTCCAAAACAATAAGGCAGTGTTAATGGATCAGGGTTACTGAAGAAACCAGTATTTTAAACTAAATAATATAATAGAACTAAATAATAGAACTGTGATATTCAACAATGGCTTCAAATTCTGTGTGATCTCTGAAGAGAAAATTGAGCCAAAGTAACAAAGGTCAGGGTAAATAGGCAAAAGACTGTCCTGAGGAGAACTTCATTCTTCTCAATAAATGCAATGGTCACAGCTGATATTTTCCAAATACAGCAGGTAATCTACTTCTGACCTATATCATGAACCTAGGTTATTAATAGTATTCACATTTTCTCCAACCAGAAGTCATGAAGACACCACTCAACTCTCTTCTCATTATTTCACTTTTTTTGAAGCTAATTGTATAAGTTCCAAGGCAGGAGGACATTGCTTTAAAGCTGGCTGTGACAAATGCAATACATCATATAACTTGCATTTGCACAAACATTCTCATACATTTAGGAGGGGAAGGTTGCCTGTGGCTGTTTCCACTGGAAATCACAAGAGAAAATTCTCCGTCTGAAGAAATGAGAATTCATAATGTACCCATGGACTCTCAAAGTACTGAAAAAGCAACCACTCAATAACATTTCACCTTGATTTTTCAAGTATCTATAAGTAAGCAAGAAAACAATATCAAACGCTGTTGAGAGATGAGAAAGGCAATGTCTGCATCACCTTTTTAGTACGAGATCAACAGTATTAGCAGTATTGCTAATTTTCTGTGAACTAATATACTCACTCTGCTACAACCCATCTTCATTTTTTTCCTCAAAATAGAGGAATAAGCTATTTTTATCAGACGGTCTATAAATAAGAATAGAATAATGATCGAAGAAGCTGTTGGAAGTGCTCATTTATTAAGAAATGAGATCTTGACAGCAATAGCCACCACCTCAAAACTGCAGAATCAGAAAAAAAACCTCATCAGGAATGGACCAGCTTTAACCATTTGGCTCCTAGTCTTTCAGGTCAAAGAACCACAACGTATTCTGAAGAAAACAGTTACAACTTAAAAATGGCTTTGCCTGTCACACCATGCAATACCTTCTCAGATGCAGGTTATTGTCTTTTGACTAGCCAGTAGTTCATGTGGAGAAGCAAGAGCAATTTGCATCTGCATTACATGGCAGACTAAGCATCTGCTGCGGTCTGTCATGTCAACTTCATCCACCTCCAGGAACCTTTTTTCAGTAGTCAAGAAGAAAAAATACTAAACCACAAAAAACAGAACTCCCGTAATCCCCAGTAAGATGAGCTTTAGTTCAAAAAATGCCAGTGGTTTATACAGGTCTCATCCCATTGCAGGACAGATTAAGGTTGTTATGTATTTTTATAGTAAACTTTGGTTATATATATATAATATATAATACTATATATTATTAATAATATCCCTGATCCTGATAGCACATGCAAGTGCATTAATACTGTGCAGGCTTAATCAGCTAGCCCAGTTTCAAAACTTCCAAATCACACAAAACCAGTAAAACTCTAGCCTACATAATCTATTTTACTGTTTAAGCTCTTATTTATAACTACCTAGTGTCAAGAAATGCCTCAACTTGCAAATTGTGTGAATCACTGCACAGGCTTTAGCCACAACATAAATAACCAAGGATGCAATAAAAATTCCGTAGAAAATGCCATTTTCTGTCATTCCCAAGTATTGTAGCCAAAGCTCACAGTTAAAGGCATTAGCTCCATCCCTTTGTCCTTCCGCTGCTGTTACAATCAATAAAGCTTTTTTTCTCTTGATTACCACATGTTGTCATTAAAAACCATTCTATCAACTAACTTACTGTATCAGGTAAGTCAGTGAGAGCCTCTACACTTACAGCCTTTCACCTTTGTGTCTTTGAGAGTATTACAGAGGAATTTATTCCTTCCTACTCTATCCATAGAAAGCATACATTATTGCATTAGAGTCTGCTGAAATTATACCCTCAAAACCTTGTGTCAGTTATTCTCTGCTTCCCATAATGTTGCATAAACCACTACAAAAAACTCCCATAAATACACGTTTCTGTAGATTTAGATGTTATATTGGGCAACAACTTTCTTTACACACTTCTTCTCCAACTGAGAATTTGGTTTTCAACATGGAAAATGTCTGAAAAGTTATTTGCCCTTTTTTGAGCTTTTTGCTGCTGGTGCTGAAATCTGGTGTGACTTTTAAATCCTTTCAAAGCAAAATCAGAAAAAGCCTGCCCACAATTAACTGGTTTTCATTAGGGTAATGCACTGTCCTAGTAAGCTATAAGAGCAGATCATCAAACATGATGAAGTAAAAATAAACTTTCTTGAAACTTACTAGCCTTCTTTGGGTTGCATTTGTGATCCTTCACCCAGATTATGAAAAATCTATAGAAAGTATGGGGCAAAACTGTCTGAAATACTAACATTCTAGCAGGATATATTTCATTAAAATAATTTCACCGTGTTTGTACTGATAAAATAAGATCATGCAGACTTCAATGACTTCTCTTCAGACAGGAACATTAGTATAAAGTTATTTCCTTAGAGCAATTAATTAAGCCTGTGAATGTCCACTAGTTTGCTGACCCTGCAAACTCAAACAGTTTATTCTAGAGCCACATACCCTTGAACCTCAGAGGTCCTCTCAGCTGTAATTATGCTTTTCAGGAATTACATAATGTAATAGAGAGCAAAACCAGAACATACAGAAGTATGCATTAGTACAAACTGTCTTGCGGAGTTGTACAAAGGTTTGTCAATAGCAAGAAGATCATGATATTCATAGGAAAGCTTAAAAGCTTCCTATTTTGGAAATCACAGCCTGCTTTTCCTCAGGAATCAACAGACAAATTGGAACACTGTTGACAACGTATCCCCTTTACAGAACAGGCTTAATAGATCCAGCTTACCAGCAGCTTTACTCTTCCAAAACTTTTGTGCCCCTGGCAGATGGCCTTCCCACTTGTTAAAGAAAAATATTATAAGACAGTTGAAACTTAAAAGATATCAAAGACCTTTTTTTTCTCTCACATATAACGGCCTTAGTCATATGGTGTCAACCAGTCTTTAACCAGCATTCCTGATGAATGGATCACATTTTCAATCTATTATATCACAAATTCATGAATAGTACAGATATTTGATAACTTACAGACTTATTCACAGTGTATGCAGTCCACAGTGGCATCTTGATATTGTAGCTGTATCCACTCACATACTGATGATGTGAGAGGAGGCAGTAGACATTTTCCTTCTGAAGAACTCTGGGTCTCCCATAGGGCAAATGATAGGAGTTTGCCCTCTTTACTAGAATTTAAGCAATAGTTATTAATTAATTATTCTATAACATTTTGGATGGGTCAAAGGTATATGAGAGAAAAAAAAAAAAAGTAAAATCAAACATTAATAAATAGAAATAAAACTAACAGTAAACAAGGATGTATGTTTCTTTAAATTGTTAGCTTCTGAGTGGAATTAAAACATGTAGAAAATGTTTTTTATGTCATGTTTAACATACAGAAGTTAATGTAACACAGCACCCTTGGAATTTCTAGTTTCTTTGCAATTTCATACCAATATAAATCTTTGAAACTTGTCTTGCCAGTGAATTGAAATTTATGCCTTACTTGGCTAGGAAACATTAGGAAAAAAAGTACACAGAAATATCTATGGGAATTTTTACTCAGAGAAAGGAAAAATTATGGCTATAAGGTGGGGAACGATAGTTATGGCATATAGCCTGGAAGTGCTCAGCCTTTCTCCAAACACCACTGAAACCTGTGTGATTTTTTTCAAGATTTTAATGGGATTCAGTTCTGGCTCCTACACATGGATGTTGCTGTAACAGTATCAATCAGCTTTTTTTTTTTTTTTTTTTATAAATGCAAAGAAACAAGAAAAAAAAAAAGTTGTGGTTCGACTTGGCTTTCCCGCTTCACTTCAAATTGCAATTAACATTAAAAAATTCCGACTGAAACCAATAATATAAAATCTAAACCAGGAATAGATATAAAAATATTGCTGCCTTTTTAATTTCTTGCTACTTACTTTCTTCTTCAGTGAGATTTAACCTCCTATTTAGTTCTGAAGCATTTTTCATCTGCAAATTACAGGAGAATCACTGAGAATTAACCCGGAGTTTAGAAAAAAAAGCAAAGGAAATAGAACATACTTGATAAAGGTAATTAAAAGATCCCAGAAGCCCCTACTTACATGCTCACATGAGCATCCCAGTTCATGTATGGGAGTCAGACTGGAAACTGGACATGAAGAAGGAGACGATTCTTCTTTTGCATGTGAAGGACTGTAAAAGGGTTTTTTTAAGAGGTGATTCAAGCTGCCATGTGTTCCATTGTTTGGTGCTGGTGTAATACGCAGCAAATCTGTTGAAACATTTGAAATTCATAAACATATTCTGAAGCTATTTTAGGACTGAAATGGCATTTTAAAAACCAATTATCTTTCCAATTCTACATATTTCCTGATCATTCACTCTAAATACAGAAGAAATAGCTTGTTCACTTATCTAAAGTGTTACGGCAACTCCTACCATCACCTTGTGATTTTCTAGGTATGAAGGTTCATTGCAACATTCCACTGCATCAAGATTTGGTAATTATGTATTTGAGTGCTGTTGATACCATTTTATACTTCACCATAAGGTTCATAAGATTAGATGATTTAATACCAAGTGCAAAGGTGATTGCAAAAGCATCACATTGTGAAGCACACTAGCCTATTGAATTTTTGTGTGATGCCTTAATCTATATTTTTTGAGGAATATACTTCCTAATTGCACACTGCTGGAATTGCAATGGCCCATCTTAAGTTACAGGTAAGAGCAGTAACTCTCTACAAGATTGCTTATCCCAAAATTCTTCCACAGCCACCATTTCAATAGCAAGCTCATACAGCAGGAGAGATTCTCTCTGATTCTTTAGTGGACTCCTGCAATCAGAAACAACCTTCAAAGCACACTTATTTCTGGAAGTGGATTTTTAGCACTGCACAGAATGCAAAAGAGCATGGCTTCAGTGTTTTGCGTGAAAAACCTAGCTTCTGAATTAATTCACTGAATTTTTAATTCTCTTCTTTTAGCTCTTACAACACTGGTATTAGAAAATAGAGTTGCTTTATGGTCTAAAGTACAGAATTGTTTCTACTCACCACACATAAGGTTGTAAACTTCAATGTTTTCAAAAGCATCCACCTCTGTTTTCTCTTTAAAGCTTGGGCCATATGCTAAGAATATAGCCTAGATTGTAATAAAACAAAAGTTGTCATCTAAAGACATGCCAATTAAAAATCAATATACTTGCATTTTACAGAAAGAGGGACACTGAAACAAAATCGTCTTTTCACAGTCCTAAAAGTTACCATGTAAGATTGTTCTAGCAAAGAAAGCAAATTTTGCTCATTGCATATAATTTGAAGAAAAACGCAAAATGTTAATTCATTTCTCAGGATACTTTAATCTATAAAATTAATTCAGGGGTGGGTCGTTCTGTAATATTTTGATGCATGCTTACCAAAAAAATGTTGTTTGCTGTTTCAAATTCACACCTTTTTATGTTTTCGTTGCAAATGTCAGTAACAATGCCATTTCAACAAATGCAGAGTTATGACATTCACAGATCCTATCTAACAGCTAGTATTGAGCCAAAAATATAAGCATTGTGGCGGAGATGGGGTTTGTTTGTTTTAATACATATTGCATTCTCAAAAGATTTTGGGTCCCTTAAGAGCCTATTGCCATGGCTAAAGCAAGGAGCAGGGAACTGGGGAGACCCATCCCAAGCTCAGCAGAGACCTGTATCAGTACCACCAACTGTGCAATGTAGTGCTTAGGTAGACCTTGCAAGCATTGTAGCAGAACACATACTATTTACAGTCTTACAGTCTTACAGTAGCTTCTACTGCTTTATAGGTCTCCTGAGCTGCCTGCCATAAGATGCAGGAAATATGACTAAACCAGACAATTCTCTGTTCTAAAATAATATCCTCATCTTCCCATAATAGAAAAGGAGCTCTTAATTTATTTTAAAAAGACAACTTTAACACATTTTGCTTCTTTATAAAGAAAAAAAATTCCTCAGACTCTGTGCCACCAGCATAAGGTTATCTGTGATTAAGATATCCATGCTAACCAGAAATTACCTTCTTTTTGCATGCAAACATTCAGCACCATTCTAATCAGTGTGTTGACATATGGTTTTAATATAGTTGTGAAGATCTGGAAGAATCTGAGTCTTAGGCACAGAATATGGGACTAGGAGTGGCATGTTTGACCTCACTTAAAGGTTCACATCACAGAAAGTACATGAAAAAAACCAAAAAGTTCAAGACCTCAAAATATTTTTGCTATAACCAGAAGTGAAAATGAGATGAAACTGCAATACGGGCTATACTAATATACAGGTTTTACTAAAGACTTTTTTTTGCTGTGATGATAAGATTAAGTCTTGTAAAATAAGCAGGGACAATGAAATTCAGTTTATTTGAGCATACAGGTTTTCAGATGACTAACTGAACTCCCAGAGCCTATGGAGATGTTTTAGTCAGTGCTTCAGCAGAAGAGTGAAAGAATGAAAGAATTCAGTGTCCCACAACTAAACATGGTATGCTTGGTTTACTGTAGTCTATCCAACTCCATGGAGCTAAGGTGAGCCCAGAGTTTTACTACAGGATCCCAAGGAAGCAGGCCTTGGACACATTGATGAAGGCAACACAAATATGTGGATCCAGCATGTGTTCACATTTTACATGTCTGGGTGACACAGAAGAAAAAACTATCATATATTCTATAGTCTGGTGGTTCACCTAGCACATCATGACTTTCAATATAAGAAGATGCAAGACTTGAACAGAAATCATCTTACCTCCATACTTTTAAATTCATTGTTATAGCCATGGTTACCCCCTTCACAAGATGTGTAACTTCGATCTCTAAAAAGGAATCATCATATCATGTAAATAGCAATGTTACAAAAAGAACAAGTTCATACTAGTAATTCTGAATCTCTGGACTCGGGGTGAAGGAAAGATATGGATATGTGTGTGTGTGAGTTATAGAATGAATAACATGTCAGAATAATCTGACTTATAATGACTAATACTTGTTTCAGTTTACCCATTGCTAAGATACATGGAAAGATAAAGACACAGTCATCACAGTTGTTAAGAACATGTATCCTCTTTCCAAGGCCACAAGAACATTTGAGCACAGTTTTAAAAAGGGTGAATATGGGATTTTTCAGTGGGCAGTTCTTTTTCTATGTCCAGGACAATTATTTGGTTGCAGTAAAACAAATAATCAAGTCATATATGAATTGGGCATTTTCAGCAGTTTGAATAGCCTCGAAATTCCAATTTGGCTCAGGCTTCTCCTACTGCAGTACTGTAGTTCAGTAAATACAGGCTTTGCACTGAGTTTTCAAAGCCTCAGGACTAAGGTCTGTCTGAACTACTCTTGACTTGCTCAGAGCTATTTTTTACTGTTTAGCTCTTACAGCAACTTTTTGTCATGACAAACTAGCTATGTCTAATCTGTTATCAGCTTATCTTTGTATGGCAAAGACACAGTTTTTATAGACATGGCAATATCAACCAGTTATTCTGTGTAGAATGCAGACCCCAAGGCTAGAAGCAACTGACCAATAGTCGGTTAAAGAAATGCAGATCTAGAATTGTGCAAAAAAAGACTAAACATAAGTAAGAGAATAAAGAACAAATATCTAACCCATGTAGAATGTGCCATATCTAGTGAACTGATATGTAACGCTAACTTGCAGGCCAGTGAAGAATGAACAAGCTGTAGTGTTCACATCCATCCAGGAAGGAATCCATGCAGGTCACAGAGTGAGAAAGAAGAAACATTGACCTCATATTCCTCCTGAGGAAGGACTCTTAATGCTGTTTACTGGCCATATCCACACACAGACCAGAGTGACCACATCAACTTTAGGACCCAGAAGGGTAGCGGAGGGGTGACTGTAACACCAGGAAAAGGGCTAGATACTGGGAAGGCTTTGCATAAAAAATTTAACTGCATTATTTTTGAGAC